TGTGCAGCGTGGGCATCTTCATGCTTGGGCCGCTACGTTTGGGCTTTGTGTGCTCATCGGGCTTGATGGGCCTGTGTAGAAGAAGCAGGAGTCTGTGGGCCGGGGTGTCCCAGGCCATATACTCCATCATGTGGTAATGAGATTTGTTACTTTAATATGTGTATACTTTTATTCCTTTTTACTATATATCTTAATTTGTGAAATATATACTTTAAATGTTCAAAATAATACCCCGTATTTTTATTCGAATTTGTATAACATATACCGTATTATACACCTATACGTATTATACACATATACCGCACCAGAACTGCTCCAAGCCGTTACAACCATTAAATGCCCAACGTTCTTGTCTTTTAATGCAGCGTTAAATGGACACTTTATGGATGATTCAATGCCCAACGGACTGGTCATTGAAGTCCAACGTTCAGGTCCATTAACACCCCATTTAACACACAACAAATCCTCCTATAAATAGCTGGCAGGTGCTTTGCAACAAACACACGGTTTGACACAACGCACAATACTTTCTCACGAATTTCTTGAGCTAAAAACTCCTACAGCTAATCTCAAAATTCCTTCTGTGTTCTTACTTGGTTCTCGTTCGCTGGAACTCGTGTTTGTGTGCTCAAACATTAGTTCGTAGTCATCGTATCCTGGGAAACGATTGTTGCAACGCTCCTAGCACCGTGGGAGGCGACAAATACGTTTTAAGGAAATCGTGCGTAGCACGAGCTTTGACTAATTCTGCTTCATCTCCTTTCTTGTTTTTCTCTTGTCATTTTATTTAATTAATTTATTTTAATTAATTATCTTTAAAATTTATTTTTAAAATTATCTTTAATTTATTTTCCGAAACACACCCTACACATCACCCTTGACTTCTGTAATTCATGTCTATTTGAGTCTTCATCTCTCTCTCTCTCCTCCCTGCCTCTTCTGCACACCTATCAACTCGTCTAACAAGCATAACTCAGTCTTCTATGCACATGACCAAACCAGCACAATCAAGACTCACACATCTTATCTTCAATAGGTGTTACTCCACATTTTGTCTGATTGTCTCATTCCTCAAACGGTCTTTTCTAGTATGTCCACACATCCAACGCATCTTGTGTATCTCTATCACACTCGTCTTTTGTTTCACCATCCAACACTCTAATGCAGTAATTCATGTCAATTGTTGTATGACAAAATTTACCATTTAATTTAGTTGGAATACGTCGATCATAATGAAATTCTAATGCACTCATTCAACAATACAGTATAGTCATTCAACAGAAGTGTCCACTTTTAATCATATAATGTAAGTATATTTTTTGAGCATTTTGGTAAAATAACTTGCTCAAAATAAGAGTATAACATGAATATGAATGAAGTTTTAAAATGAATCAAAATACATTTTCTTCGATCCTAAAATATAATTTATTAACCTTATCAAAAGAATAAAAGAACAAATGTCAAGTTCAATTTTTTTCGAAATTTATATTGAGCTACATCGCTCGAATATTAATTACATCTTTTCTGTCAAAATTATTAACCACTATTAACTCAAACAATATTACACATGACTAAAAGAAAAATGCACCAAATTATATGGTACAACCGACTGCACCTTGAGCAGGTATAACTAAGTATTTCCTGACCTGTCGTATTCACCAACCCAGTATAATGCAGCCCAATCATAGTTCTATTCCACCGCACTGCGGGATCCGGTAGCTTATCGTCAGTCAATCGATGTCTCCAAGTTTGTTGTCGGATCCACTGTTCACCGGCATAGTTCTGGCAACAGGAGCGGACGACAAACCAAGTCCCACAACGATAGAATACAAGCAGACGTCCAAAGCGAAGTATTCCAATCGTCTTCTCTGGTAACCCTCAACATTGTAACACAGTATTAAGCTTGAATTGGAACGAGAAGAGCCAACAACAATCAATAATCCTCGCCCCCGATGGCGGCGTGCTTACCAAAACGTCACATGATATTTTGGTTTTAGAAGCCACACTTAATTAAACTAATGAAAAGGAACCACAATAAATTGTTACATATGTTAAACTTAATGAGTATAAATTTCACAAGAAATCAGCATGTACAAATGCATATTGTATATTCCAAATGAGCTTTTGAATGTTTCGATGCTCATTTTGTAAGTTGTGTATGCTCATTTGGTACAAGGAGAAGAAATCATGATACCCAATTTCATGCTTCTAATACTCAATATAGCATGTTAATGCATAATGAAAAATGTCCTAATGTTCATGAACTACCAAACCTTACAATTTTCATATCAATACTCATTTTGTAAGTTATGTGTGCTCATTTGATATTTGACACGTCAATGGGTCGGGACAGGTAGTGCAAGACCCAGACCCGCCTCATGACTTTACTAGGTGGATCTGTCCCGCTCTGTGACATGTACGGGTCAACATTTGTTGGCTCTGTTGAAAAAATGTGCAAAAATTGCATTAAATGATCAATTTGGGGCAATATTTTTGTGTGGGTCCACTTCCGATTTGGGTCAGATCATAGTGTTTTCGAAATTTCCTTGTTAAGGGCTTCAATTCGATATGTGGTACACTCAAAACGGATAACGGGTGAATGAGAAATTGATTCTCAAAATTCACTCATTGAAATGGAAAAATTAAGAAAAGGATGAATTTCTAGTGTGATTTATCCCACATCGGAAAACCCAAGGGATTTTTACCCCTTTATAAAGGTGAACCTCTTTGAAGGAGTTAAAATTCCTAGGTTGAAAGGTTCTCTTCAGGCGCAAGGGGGAGTGCTGATCAAATTCCGAAAACGGAGAAGAAAAACTGCAACTTGCGTGCGCGGGCGACCTGCAGACGATGAATGTCGTCTGAAAATCCAGCTTTCAAAGATATGATTTATTTTTTTGTTTCTTCCGGTAACGTTTCTAATTTTTTCCAGAATCAGTGGGTGGCATAGGAGGCTTCTGTTCGCACCAGAAGCAGACCATTTCTATTTTGGCCGTTATAACCTTTGTTACCCAACGTTCTTCTCCTTTAATGCGTCTTTAAATTGATAGTTTTCGACATATTAATGCCCAACGCTCTGGTCATTTATTCCAACGTTCAGATCCATTAAAGCTCAGTTAACACATCACAAATCCGTCCCTATATATAGCTGTCAGGTGATTTGCAACAACACACGTTCATACACAGTCTTCACGTAGTTTCCGACCTAAAAATACCTCCAGTATTCTGAAAATTATTTCCTTCGTGTTCTTGCTTGTTTCCGTTCGCCGGAACAATCAGTTGTGTGCTCACACGATTGTTCGTTAGCCACCGTATATTTGAAAACGATCGTTGCAACGCTCCTAGCACCGTGGGAGGCAACGAATACATTTCAAGGAAATTGTGCGTTGCATAGGTTTGGCTATTCTGTCCCATCTTATTTCTGTTTTCTCTAGCTATTTTAATTAATTTAATTAATTAATTTTCTTTGTTTTTCCGAATTCACCCAACAGGCTCGTGACCCGCCCACCTTGTCGTATATCAATTAGCTAATATACATTTATATTTGCGCGAAATTGTTACCACTTAAAGTTAGATAAAGGCTATTTCTAAATAAAATTATATATAAAATCAAAGTCAAACGTTGAAATGTCAAAAAAATAAGAAAAAAGTAACTAGATGTGAATAGTATATCTAATTATGTTAATAATTGAATATATAAAGTTTAAATTTAAAAACGATGTTGACAATTAACCATTCATCTCATTCAAATATAAATATTAATATTTGTGTCCCGTTCAAAGGGTTGTCATTATAAAATGGCACAATTATATGAACAATAATTAAATACGATAATTCGAGTATATTTGGGAAATAATTTTGATTGTTATGTAATATAATGGAGCCATTGATGATAACTTTGATGTTATAGATGTATTATTTTGAATACTTGATCACTAAATTGTCATTTATTATTATTATTATTATTATTATTATTATAATTATTATTATTATTATTATTATTATTATTATTATTATTGTTATTATTATTATTGTTATTATTATTATTGTTATTATTATTATTGTTATTATTATAATTGTTATTATTATTATTGTTATTATTATTATTGTTATTATTATTATTGTTATTATTATAATTATTGTTATTATTATTGTTATTATTATTGTTATTATTGTTATTATAATAATAATAATAATAATAATAATAATAATTATTATTATTATTATTATTATTATTATGATTCTTATTATTATTATTATTATTATTATTTGTAAGACGGGGTCTTTGTAGGCTGATATTTTTACGTTTTTATTTGGTATTGATGTCATGCTCATTTTAAATTGTCATATCAATGCATATTTTAAAAGTATCGTATTACATTATATTCACATATTGAAATTCATCGGAGTTTATAGATATAATTTAAGACATTTTCATAGAGCAAAAAAGTGAATGAGAAAATATGAAATAAAAATCCCTCTTTAGTTATTAGGATTCAATGGTTTTCCACGAATGGGGAATGTACATACTACTCCCTCCGTCCCGAAATTATCTTCATACTTTCCTTTTCGGTCTGTCCCAAATTTATCTCCTCTTTTCCTTTTTAGCAAAGAATTTGTGGTTCACAACCATTCTTATACATTCTTACACATTTCTCTTTCCTCTGCACAACTCTTCACCACACATTTCCCACTATCTTAATCCATGTGCCATTTGTATTTCAGGAGATAAATATGGGACGGAGGGAGTAGTATTTTGTTGGTAGTTGGGGAGTTCTCCACTTCTCCCTACAAAGAATTTATTTGATAATTTTCGTTGTTTTAATATTTTCCTTGTGATATTTTCCTTACTTTCTTTTTTCAAATATAACATTCATATTTTCTTATTTTTAAATGTTCTCATTATATTCTCAATAATTTTAAAACAATACATTATTATAATTATTTTTTTTAATAAATAGAAGCAAGTTAACGTTCAAAAATGTATCCTTTATTTCGGCAGACTACTTCAAATGAGGTTAAGGTCGTAAGGAGGTAGTAAATCTTCCCGAGAAACACGAGAACAGTACGAAAGTGTGAAGTATGAACCAATCATTGTCCCTCCCTCTCATTGATCACTTTCATAATTCAGAGCTGGAACCTGAAAACCTTACTTTTCTTCTACTAACCTACAGTCCCAACCTAAAAGCAGTTCGTGAAGCAGAGCAATGGCTCCTCTCCCCGCTCGATTGATTCTCTCACTGCAATTGCTGACCATGTTATTCGGATCCGGATGTTCAACCCGATTCCGCGACGCAGAGGATAGGGAGACTGCACCGGCACAGAGAGAGTTCGATTTCTTTAAGCTCTCTCTCTTATGGCCTGGCACCGAATGCAGGCATACTCTCCACTGCTGCTCAGCCAATGCTTGCTGCCGGTATATATTCATTCTATCATCTCCTTTCGTGTATCATAGTTTAGGCGTTTGAATATGGATGGATCTTCAGCGTTCGATGAGTTCGGACATGGTAACTTTTTTCACTGTTTTCCTTTTTCTTTCTTCAATTTGCGCAGTTCCAGCTCTCCAACCGAATTCACAATTCGTAAGTCCTGTTTCTTAAGATCCTGTGTGATTTACTCCCTCCCAAGTCCCACCCACCCAATTATTTAGCGAGTCATTACACACAAATCCCAAACTAGTTGTCGTTCTAGGAATTTTCTGACATTTTACTAATCTCTCCAATGGAAAATCTTCTCTTTTCCTTGGGAGCGTATCAACTTAAATATAAATAAGTAAACTGTTTAGTAAGTGTTGTATAAGCTTCGTCTTTTGAGAACTGTCTTGTGATTCAGTCAGGTCCCACTTGGCCACTTTATTCTTATGATTCTGGTATATGTAGATTAACTCTATTGTAGAGTTGATTTGTACAGAGTTGGTATGAAATCTGGAACCAACTTTATCATTTAGTTCCATCTAAACGGTTTGTAGAGTAATTCTGTGGCGCAGTTACAACACAAGATGCAAACATGTAAGATTTCTTGATAAGAGTGTATTTTTTTCAAATAATAGTCCATGAAGGATTTCTTTTTAAGGTAATAAATAAAATTTCTGTATGTTAAAAGTAACAAGAAAATTGAAAAATATGAAAGTGCAAACTAATCAATATTATATGTTTTACTTAATTGGTTGCTTAGTCAAGACGATACGTCTTTAGATAAGATGATGGAGGGAGTAAGCAAACTTAGTAGTTAGAGAAGTCCATTGGTTTTGCAGATGGACTCTGGGCTGATTACAATGACGGAACTTGGCCCGCATGTTGTGAAGGTTCCCAATTCAATGAGAGTGAGGTGTGTGTGCCAATAAACTATGTTCATTGTTTGTTAAAATATTTTGCTAGCGGAATTAGCATTTGGTGTCAGAATATCAGAACCAAATTTAAACTCAGTAAATCTAAGTCTTAAAGCAGTACATCTTTGATTACTGATTAGTACTCCATATTTCTTATTCGTAGCCCAATGCTTTTCTCTCTATAGTGTGATCCATGTCTTTTACATGATATAGATCTCAACACTGCTGGGTGACTTGACAAAATACTGGCCAACTTATCAGTGTGGTAGCTCATCAACTTGTCATCGTAGCAAAGGACCATTTTGGGCTCATGAGGTTTTCAAACTTCAATTAAATGTTTTTCTCATTGATGTTATACAATACACTACATGAAAGAATGAGACTAATTCTCTCTCATTCTTCTATGGTTGACTCCTTCGGCACTCGCTCATTCACAGTGGGGTAATTATCTTATCCTTGTTCTTCCATTAATTTGATCAAGTACAGAAATTTCCTAAAAATATGGCTAAAAATAATGTGAAATTTCAAAATATGGGTATTATGTTTCCTCTTAAAAGGGTTAAAATATTGTTATTGTGAAATCATTTTTGTGATATTTTGACAATATTAATCTTATAACTTGCAGTGTTTTTCAAGCATGACAATAGTTACTCTTATTTAGGAGTAAAAACAATATGAAATTTCAAAATATGAGGACTATAGTTTCCCTTAAAAAGAGTAAATTATTGCCTATCCTGAAATCGTAGATATTTTGACATTTACCAGACATTAATAATTGGCAGTATTTTTAAGCGACAATACTTTCAAGCATGATTGTAAATACTCCCATTTAGGGGGGAAATATCATGCTCCTATTTTGCAATTTCAGTATTTCACATTATTTTTAATCCTATTTAGGGCAATTTACGGTATAGAAAAGTTAAACTTTAGAAAGATAGTAATCCTAAATTGAGTAGTATTATGATTTTCTATTCTCATTAGGTTGAAAGTTGAGTTTGTATTCCTATCCCCATTGTTTCTTTGCATGATAATTGCAATAATCTCTATACAGTACATTTCCCTACCCTCACTTTTGCAGTTGTAGCAATTTATGACAACATTCTTTTAGAAAGAACTAATAAACTATAGAAGCATGAATGTGTCCTACCCCCACCCCGCCCCCGCCTCCGCCCCCAAATATGAATTATTTGCTAATTCCACTTCATTTTTATTCTTTTCCCAGAGAAACATGGAACATGTTCGTACCCAGTTGTCCGGAATGAATATGAATACTTTTTGACAACGCTGAATGTCTTCTTCAAATATAATGTTACGGTAATAATTGAGTTGTCATTTCAGTTGTGGTGCATGAATTTAAACATCTGTATCAAGTTTCCGATGAACTTCATCTCTTTATCCATGACGACTGTGGATTTAAGTGGTTGATGACCAACAATATCTTACTCAACACATAATACCAGGATGTATTGCACAAAGAAGGATATGTACCCTCAAATTCTGAGAAGTACCCATTAGGTGGCATCATTTCAGCCATTCAAAACGCTTTCCATGCAACCCCTGAATTGGCATGTTCTGGTGATGCTATCGAGGAACTTCGGATATGCTTCTTTAAGAATTTTGAGGTTGGTTTCTTTTATGTTTTTATCAAGAGTTTGGACTTCTTCCCGCAGCTCTCTTGGTAATCTAAATGCATACATTAAATGTAGAGGAACGTGTTGATTAAGCATCCATTGGTAAGAGCTGTTTGATTAAAATGAATGAATCGCTGAATTGGTTATGAGCAAAAGTGTTGGGTGACATATTCGTTTGAGCTAAATATGTAAACGGAGTCTAAATATGTTTTTCTAGGCTTAATTATTCTCCAGTCTCTTAATATTTTGGTCTTTTGGACTGAAGGTCTAAAAGTCTGATGAGTTTTCTTAATGCAGCCACGTGATTGTGAAACAAAAAGTAGGCTCAAGAGTTTAAGAGGTTCATCTTGCCCTAAGTATGTGAGCTTACCTGAACAGGCATCAGTGGCATCACAGTGTAAGCTTTATGTTACCATCTAATGAGCACATGTTATTTAGATGATATTTCTTTTATGTATAAAAGAGCTGGATGTAGGGGGGAGACACACGGGCATGCACGGATGCGCCCAGAGCATCATTAAGAAGAGGGGTATTAGTATAAAAATATCAATACTACTACTCCATATAAGTTTTTGGTCCAACCAAAATAGTAACATCCTACAAATATACTACGTAGTTAATATGGGATATTCCCTGTTTCCCTGGTTAGTGCCCTTGACTCTTCCTTGTTCGGTTAGCAGCTTGGGGTCATCCTTGTCCGGTTAGCATCCTGGGGTTTTACTTGTCTGATTAGCATGCTACCCGAGGTCTTCTTTATCAGGTTAATAGTTTGAGGTCTTCCTTGTCTAGTTAGCAGCCCAGAGTCGGTCGGAAGACCTCCTCCTTTATTCATTAAAAGGAGGTGCCTCATTAAAATCTTAGTAGGAAAAAAGCATGTGAGAAAAAATCTCAGTGAAGGAAAAAGAGAACAATGGTGCTCAAAATGAAGCAAAGATAGACTCTCGAAAGAGATTTTGTACGCCCATGTCTGATCCAACCGCAACCGCATAGTTGGATTTAGTCTAGGATAGATCTGATCTCTGATACTAAGACAAGTCTAAATGAAAATATTTATACACTATACAAATTCATAAATTATCAAAATGTTTTGATAATATTTAATATTTAAAGACATATATAAGTAAAAAAATAATAATCTAACATTCTAAAATACAAAATAATCTAGACAAAACTGCTTTGTTAATAAAGAGATGTAATTGAAATGATGAATTGTATGTATCAATCTAATAAAAAATATTGTTTGCTTATCTATCAAGAGACATTAAGGAAAATAGAAAAAGTGGTACAACAAAAAAAGAACAAGACTGAATTATATTGTTCAACCATGAAAAAATGAGATGCAAAGTAATAAACTAATAATGAGAAGGCCCCTCTATTTATATATGTTGGGTTAATGGCCTTCCAGGACCGGCCCATCAACCCCTGAAGCCCAAGAACCAAGGGACGTACGTGCCCCACCGTAGCCAGGCCTCAGGGTTCAAGGGCCAGGGGACGTACGTAGCCCGTCATAGCCAGATTTCAGGGTCCAAGGGTCAGGGGACGCACGTAGCCCGTCATAGCCAGGCCTCAGGGTCCAAGGGCCAGGGGACGTACATAGCCCATCATAGCCAGACCTCAGGGTCCAAGGGCCAGGGGACGCACGTAGCTCGGTATAGCCAGGCCTCAGGGTCTAAGGACCTGGGGATGGACGTCTTGTGGCCCATACTTAAAGGCCCAGGTTGCCATCAAAGAGTTGAGTCCAATTTGGGGGACAGACGTCCCCCGCGTTATGGCGGGAAACCAAGATCTTGGCGGGAAGCGCATTTAATGCTGAAGATTTGGTAGTTGGAATCATGTAGCCCACAGCCGGCCACGTCAGCCCCCCAACCACCAGGGGGTACTATAAATAGTCGCATTTATTTCATTGTAAAGGGTTCGCACATCGTTACTCTAGAGTTGTAATAGCGTCAGCAATACGTAGCATATTTTCAGTACATTCGGCCTTTTCGGCTTGTAATCACAATATTGAAGAAAATAGTCATTTAATTCACCCCCGTTGATTTAGTGAGTTCATTTGCCTTCTACCCATTCGAAACCCCCAGGTTACGTGTTGGGCCTGCGGGTTGAGGGGAATAAACCTCAACACTGGCGCCGTCTGTGGAAAATTGATCAAAAAGCTCTTTTTCCAAGCTCTCCATTTAAAATTTCTAAGACAACCAAAAGGTAAACAAAATGAACACTAACAACGTGGGCAATTCTCAAGACCTATCATCACGACTGGCTCACAGCAGGAGGAGCCGTAACCAGGCGGCAGGGGCCCAATCCACCAGTCTATGGAGTCAAGGGGATTTCGGGATGCTCACCGACCTGATTCCACAGGAACTCCGCAGGGACCCCCACGCGATGCGAGATATCGCGGATACTATCCGCCGACTGGCGGATCAGCGGGAGGAAGAGCAGGTGTACACCGCCAATACTGAGCGCACCCCGCTCTCACCCGTCCGTCCCATGCAGTCTTTCACCGAACACACTGGCGAGAACAGCAATCCCCGCCGTTCGGTCCATTCCAGAATAACCCAGAACATCCGCCCTCCGGGTATGGGGGCGCCACGGGGGTTAGGCCCTTCAGAGGAGCACAGCGCCACACATTTCAGGACCCCACGCCGGTCATGCCCCGCGGTGGAGGAACGGCTAGGGAACATAGCCCCGTGATGAGTGGCATGGCGGCGGAGGCCCGAATGCACCCTGGCCAACACAATCAGGGTGTTGTACCAAGAGGAGACGCCTTGGCAGTAGTAACCCCCGCGCCCGTTGGGGCTGATCCACGGGATGCCATGCTCCTGGATATGCAGAGGCAAATAAATGAGCTGAATCGTCGGACGGAGAATGCTCAGGCCCAGCCCAGGATTGCACTGTCACCCCCCTTCACCGACAGAGTTATGGCGGTAGACATTGCGCGGGACGTTCGGCCCCCTGGAACATTAACTTATGACGAAGCCGAGGACCCCAAAGCCCATCTACTATCTTACCAAGGGACGCTCTCCATGTTGGGAGCCTCCGATGAGGCTGTGTGCGGGCTTTTCTTCAGCACCCTTAGAGGGCCAGCACAGGAGTGGTTCGGGCAGCTCAGGCCCAGATCCATCGACAACTTTGAACAACTCTCCCGGCAGTTGATGGCTCGGTTCGCCTCCAGCTCCACGCCAAAGAAGCACTTCAGTTGGCTGACGAACGTCCACCAGAATAAGGGGGAGTCCATATCTGCCTTCATGATCAGGTGGAGGGATGAGACCTTGAAGGCGGAGGATCTTCCGGAGAGCACCGTCATCACCCTCTTCACCAATGCACTGGCGACAGGGGACCTCTATCTGGATTTAAAGAGGAACCCCGGGAACAACTACGTCGAGGTGCTGGCCCGCGCACACAAATTCGCGGCAATAGAGGAGGAGGTCTCACAGCGGGACGGAGCATCAATCCCCGTTGCGCGCAAGGCATCAGACCGAATGGGCCCTGGACCGGTGGAATCGCCACCCCTGAAAAAGAAGAAGACGGTCGGCGTGAATGTCCTGTGGGCCGCACAGGAACGCACGGGGGATGGCCCCCATATGAGCCTAGGGCCGGCACCCCTGGCCTACCCAATCAGCCAAATCTTTGGGGCCATCAAGGACCAGTGGCTACTCAAGGAGCCGGTACCCACCAAGGGGCTCATGATGGGCCGGGACGCGGGATCATATTGTGAGTACCACCGCAAACAGGGACACCGTACTGACGACTGCAAAAGTCTGAAGTACGCCATCCAGAAGCTCATTGATAGAGGGTACCTGGGTGAATTCACCACGGATGGAGCATATCAGGGACCCTCACAACAGCATAGAAGGCCCTACAGCTGGCGCCGGGATGATCGGCGAGAGGCCGAAGTCAAGGAGGATGATTTCCGCCATGGCGACAAAAGGCCAGAGGCGTCTCTCGGACCTGTCGGCTCCAAGAAGAAGATGGAAATCAAGATGATTTTCGGAGGAGCGGAAACCGGGGATACCCCGACGGAGAGGAAGAAGTTTGAGAGAGCCCTCCGGATAAATTCTATCTCCGCACCCCTCGCCAAGAAACACAAGGTCGAGCCCATCACATTTGGGACAACGGATCTACCGCAGACACCAGGGCCACACAGGGATGAGCTGGTAGTCAGTATGGATATCTGGGAGTGGAACCGGAAATCCGGGAGGGGGTGATCATGACTCTCAAGAGGTTCAAAATCTTATTTGCTAGGGGACTGGAGGATATGCTAGGGATTGATCCCAGCATCATCTGCCACAAATTGGCCGTTCGGCCAGATGCCAAACCTGTGCAACAGAAAAAGAGATATATGGCGGTTGAGCGAAGGGATTTCATCAAGGTGGAGGTCACCACCCTGCTGGACATACGCCACATACGGCCTGTCATGCATGTGGAATGGCTGTCCAACGTCGTCTTGGCTCCGAAAGGGACTACCTGGCGGATGTGCGTCGATTACTCCAACCTCAACAAGGCTTGCCCGATGGACCCATATCCCGTTCCGAGGATTGATCTCTTGGTGGATGAGACCGCAGGATGCGAGCTGCTAAGCTTTATGGATGCCTTCAAGGGGTATCATCAGGTATTCATGCACCCAGACGACGCCGAGAAAACTGTGTTCATCACCTCAGACGGGGTGTATTGCTGTGTGGTCATGCCGTTCGGATTGAGGAACGCGATGGCCACCTTCCAAAGAATGATCGGGATATTGTTCAAGGATGTCCTTGGGAAGATCATGGAGGCGTACGTCGACGATATCCTGATCAAAAGCAGGAAAAAGGAGGATCATGTACAGGACATGGAGCGGGTTTTCACCATTATGGAGGGAGCGAACATGAGGCTGAACCCCAAGAAGTGTGTCTTTGCCGTCAGGGGAGGAAAATTTCTCGGTTACATGATGAGCGAGCGGGGAATCGAGCCTAATCCCGAGAAGGTCAAAGCCATCATGGACATGGAGGCCCCCAAGAATTTGAAAGATGTACAGAGACCCACGGGGCGCTTGGCGGCACTGAGCCGGTTTATGTCAAAACTGGCCGACCGGGCGATCCCTTTCTTTCAGATCATGAAGAAGGCCAACCCATTTGAATGGACGCCGGAATGTCAGACAACTTTTGAAGAGTTCAAGACGTACCTCTCCTCACCACTTGTCCTAACTAAAGCAGACCCCGGGGAACCACTATACATGTACTTAGCGGTGGCTGACTTGGCAGTAAGCTTCGTCTTGCTAAAAGAGGTTGAGGGTGTTCAGCGGCCCATATACTTCGTCAGCAAAGCGCTGAACGGGCCGGAGACAAGGTACACACTAATGGAGAAGACGGTCCTGGCATTGATCGCAGCAATAAAACGCTTGGCGTCGTACTTCCAGGCACA